TTAATGTTTGCTGCAATAATAAGCATTAAACAAAATCACTAACGACATAAAGGGATTGATACTGTGATCCCATAAACATCACTTTATATTCAAAGATTGTCCCCCAATATAAAGGCAGCACACACGTCTGAAGTCTGAATGACTACAGATAATAAATTGGCGGCAATTTGCCGATTTGCGCCGTCAGCTTAGCGTACCTGGTAGGTAGAGAATGTTACTAAAATGTTTATTATCGATATAAATTATTTTATCGTTTATATAGCTCATTACATTTAGTGCATAAATTTAAAACTACATAAATGATAATAATATGGCTACTTATCTTTTATTATGACGGATATTTTTTTACAAAAGAAAAGGTGACAAACAAGAACAAGTTGATGCTCTAAACCAAGGATAGCCAAGGCTATTATCATTAAGAATGAAAATGTGGATGCGGTATCACCTCCGAGAACTAAATTGGAATGCCCCGTTACCAGATATAAAGGTTGTCTGATTCTTGTCACTCGCCAAACGAAGCACATCAGCATTATATTATATAATTTGTGCTGTTATTGTGAGCGTGGCCCTTCCGTGGTCGAGACAATCTATTCGTTGCAACATGTGATCCCTGATGGTAAGTTGATGCTACTGTTTAAAGACATCTACACCTATCCTCGAAAATTAAACAAAGTTCTCTTTACTTACTGTGACGGCCCAATATTATTATTAATAATTAAATTCAATATAAAGGGGCGTCAAAAAACAGTCTTAAAAGATATATATTAAGCAATTAAGTTAAATTAATAACATAAAGTTAATATATTTCAGACATTATCCCAATAACATAGTAAATTAAAGGCAAAATTATTGTTTTCGTAATAAATAAATTTATTTAAAAACTTGAAAAAAATATTTAAAATAAGATAAATAATAGAAATACAAGTCAAAAAATATTATAAAATTAAGTTAAATGACGTATATAAGATAATTAGAAAATTTGTTAAAAATTGTTTAAGTCATGGGAGGTGTTCGTGTATAAAAGAAAATTTTTCTAAGTTGTGGAAGGAGTTCACGTATAGATGAAATTTCTTAAGTTGTTGAAGGAGTTCATGTATTAAAGAAAATTTTCCTAAGTTATGGAAGGTGTTCACGTATAGACGTCTTGTATGGAGGAAGCTGCCGGAGGTACATACCTGCAGTTGTGCATATATATAGGGTGGTCGGGAGCCCGACTGCCTGAAGTACTGTAGCACAATGACTAGTCCTATATTAGGGACTTATGATAATAAACTCAATGATACAAAAACAATACTATAGAAGGTCTCTATGATGAATATGCATGACAATAGTAGGGTCGTGGGTTCGAACCCTATATATTAATGACTTATAAAAGTAAGATCTATGATACAAAAGCAATACTATAGAAGGTCTCTATGATTAATATGCCTTACAATAGTAGGGTCGTGGGTTCGAATCCTATATATTAATGACTTATGAAAGTAAGGTCTATGATACAAAAGCAATACTATAGAAGGTCTCTATGATTAATATGCATTACAATAGTAGGGTTGTGGGTTCGAATCCTATATATGCATGATTTATGAAAGTAAAGTCTATGATACAAAAGCAATATTATAGAGGGTCTCCTTGATGCATAAGCATTGTATGGAGTGGTCGGGTGACCGACTGCTCCTAGTACTGTAGCAAAATGACTAGTCCTTATTAGGGACTTGAAAAGGAATATTATGGTGGCGTGTATGCTGCTTCACGAGCAATTAGTCCGAGGTAAACTTGGACTCGCTAACCGATGTGTCCTAGACATATCATCTTAGTGCTGGTGGTAAGCGGGTTTGTTGTAGCAATACGGCTTTCCCGTGGACATCGCACACCCATACCGTTTGTGGGCGGCGTAGTAGCGCATAGCGATGCGTCGTCTATATTTCGGATTGGGATGATGAGTGTGTTTGGTAGCACTTTTAAGTGTAGCAGGCATACTCAACTTCATGTCTTAGTGCATTAGCGCTATGATACATGGAGTTCTGTTCATTGGCGTCTTAGTAGCGTGCTACTATGATACGTTGGTGATATTTTTTATATAACAACAATACAAACTTTGTTACCAAAGTCGATAGGGATCATGTGGGTGTGTTGTGAGGGGGCGCCACCCGTATGATAGTTGCATTGATGCTTACTGCTACTTGCGGTATTGCGTCTTGTGATGGATCTGCGGGTGTGCTGCGCCTGATTCGACGCATTCCTGTGGTTCTGGTCGATGGAGGTATACAATTAACATCTTAGTGCCGGTGGTAAGCGGGTTTGTTGTAGCAATACGGCTTTCCCGTGGACATCGCACACCCATACCGTTTGTGGGCGACGTCGTAACGAATAGCGATGCGTCGTCTATCTTTCGGATTGGGATGATGAGTGTGTATGGTAGCACTTTTAAGTGTAACAGGCATACTCAACTTCATGTCTTAGTGCATTAGCGCTATGATACGTGGAGTTTTGTCCACTGGCGTCTTAGTAGTGTGCTACTATGATACGTTGGTGATATTTTTTGTATAACAACAATAACAACTTTGTTACCAAAATCGATAGGAGTCATGTGGGTGTGTTGTGAGGGGGCGCCACCCGTATGATAGTTGCATTGATGCTTACTGCTACTTGCGGTATTGCGTCTTGTGGTGGATCTGCGAGTGTGCTGCGCCTGATTCGACGCATTCTTGTGGTTCTGGTCGATGGAGGTATACAATTAACATCTTAGTGCCGGTGGTAAGCGGGTTTGTTGTAGCAATACGGCTTTCCCGTGGACATCGCACACCCATACCGTTTGTGGGCGACGTCGTTGCGCATAGCGATGTGTCGTCTATCTTTCGGATTGGGATGATGAGTGTGTTTGGTAGCACTTTTAAGTGTAGCAGGCATACTCAACTTCATGTCTTAGTGCATTAACGCTATGATACATGGAGTTCTGTTCATTGGCGTCTTAGTAGCGTGCTACTATGATACGTTGTTGATATTTTTTATATATCAACAATACAAACTTTGTTACCAAAATCGATAGGAGTCATGGGGGTGTGTTGTGAGGGGGCGCCACCCGTATGATAGTTGCATTGATGCTTACTGCTACTTGCGGTATTGCGTCTTTTGATGGATCTGCGGGTGTGCTGCGCCTGATTCGACGCTCTCTTGTGGTTCTGGTCGATGGAGGTATACGGGTGGTGATGTCTGCTGGGATGTATGGGGGACCTTGGAATGGTGTAAGCCCGACGATAGTCGTATTGATGCTTGTTGCGTTCTGCAGCATTGCGTCTCTGCGATGGTTGTTTGGTGGGACGCTATTCTCAATGGCGCTCTCTGCGTCTTGGTTTGACTCACACCTGAGTAGCTTTACCCAAGTCGGGTCCCTTCATTGCGGGGCTGCAGACTGTCTGCCCTCCACGATGTTTTATATAACAACATAATATTATATCTCTGTAACTTTCCCACCTTTGAATGATTGAAGGCAACTTGTTGGTGGGTGAGACAAACATGATCGAAAATGCATTTACTCAACGTCAGTGACGCAAACACTTTCTGATGGCGAATTATTACTCTTATCTTATAACTGCCTTTTGGCTATATCTGCCGTTGTATTGGTTGGTGGAGCATATGTGTCGACCTCATGCGGGTGGTAGCTGGCGGGAGGATCTGAGGAGACTCTCAAGGCTGCGGCCGAAAGCCGCACAACGTGGGACCCCATTCCCTTGAGGTGAGCGGTAGACTCATGACACGCTCTGCGGCTAGTAGCCGTGTTGATCATGCAATTGGTGGTGATGCCATACACTTACATCACGTCTGCAGGAGCGGCGGTCTGGCAGGTGGTGGCGCTCACGGAGGGTTTACGGCCAGTGTGCCTATTTGCCTAAACCGTGTGACGTACATTCACTGTGGCTGGATTCGTTCGTATTCTGTTTGGCGTTTACACGCATTGACATGCGCGACTTCGGTCGATGTTTGTGCTTACGCACTAACTAGGGCCAAGCCTCTTTTACTGGTTCGCCAATTATTTTGCTGTGGACTACGGTCCAGTTCCCGAATTAGCGTTCCCTACGGGGAGGGGGGTGCATCAAAATGGTTGGCACTCACCGTGCACGGCGTGTGTGGGGCCGTGTACCTCCCCTACATTTTTTTTTTAAATAAATGTAGGAGAGCGAAGCCCTTGTATCGGGTATTTTGTATAAATATATTTTGAGCCTTTTCCGAGCGGGAAGGGATAAATAATATTAAGTTAATAATGTAAGCCTGATACAAGTGGAATTGGGACGTTTTATGTTTTTAACCTTTCTCGAGCCCTGTCTTCGTGAACGGGGTTCACTTAGCTTATAAGGCACTACCAACAGCTTTTAATTGCTCTAGCGAATATTCATTCTTCCAAAAGACACCTAAAAGAACTAAGTTACTAAACAAACACAACGTAAATAAGGGTCCTAACTAAGACGATCACGCCAAAATATTACAAACGGCCTATTATTAAACCTTTAGAAAGATCATTTAGAAAGATCTATACATAATTTATTAATCCTGGTCACATATATATAATTTTTAATATAAAGGGGAATATAATACATTTAGTATTTTATATATTTATTACTATGAGAGGGGGGGAGAGCGTTACATTACCATACGGAATACAGCAGCATTAAGTTGCTGTTTTACGCTGGTAAACTCTGAGAACGTGGTTCTTCTTCCCTGGTTGATCCGACCAAATTGTGCTACTAACATAAAATGATTGCATAGCAACAGCATGGACCTAACACGTGTAAAATGTGCTTATTTATGGCCTGGTGTAAAAAATATCGTCTAATCATGCCGGAGAAATAAAATATTTAGAAAGCTTAAGAAGTCTGCCAAAATGTAATAGAGCAGTGCGGCAAATTGAATTCTTCAAAAATCGCCTCAGAAATGGTAGAAAGTTTGTGTTGTACAGTGGCTGTATATTTTTGTAAATTATTTTGAATTACTTTGTGCAGAAGTGTTTACGCTATCGACACCTTGACCTTGCCTTGATCGTCTTTAGGCAGCCCATCACTAACGTTAACAAAGAGCCGGTGATTTGTATCTGAAAATGTTTTTCTTGATTCCCTATAGAGAACAGCCGGTATTATAGTGTTCTTATTGCTTTCGCGATTTATACTGTTTTCATTTGAAAGTGTTTTTGTTGGAACATACGTTTATCTGAGACGTCCGAGTGAATTGAATTATCATAAATAGTCTCATCCCTTATAAAAGCATTTAATAATTTATTGGGTAATATTTCCTTTGGATGTCTCATACAGAGTAAAGCATCTTTTATTCTTACAAAGTATATTGACTTTGTTTTGGCATATTTTATTTATTCTTACGTACCTAGTTTTGAAATAAATAATCTAAAATCAATCACACATCTAGGCTGACTTACGACAGAATCGAGTTCTAAATCAATCGAATCTGATTCGATAATTGAATTAGTACATTAGTAATTCATAATCCCGAAACAAAAGCTAACGCAATCGAATTGTAGCTTAAATTAATTAATTCTCTGCTGGATGACTCGCGTTCTTACAAACAATGACAATACGTTTTCTTTATACATTTTTTCTATTAATCTAGTAATATTATTTGAAAAATGAATTTCTTAATTTAAAAATAATGGAACCACGGACATTAATAATTTAACTACCTATATAAAACAATCAGCCAGATATCTATGCATAACAGCGCTAACAGCACTTGATCGTAAATCCATCTTGTTTCTCGATTAAAAATCGAAAGCCAAATCGAATTTAAAATAATTTTCTGGAGTCAGGCCTTCAGGCTCTGCATTTTTAAATCCCAGTCTATTATTGAACTATATATTTTTAAATTTTATAGAGAAAAATCTAAAAAGCGGTTGACCGGTAAGCCAACCTTGGAACTTCACGCTTTCTCCAGCTGGAAACGCTCTAAAATCTTCCAATTGTTTGGTCAAAATTTATATCACAGGCGATTATTTAGAAAATTCTAAATGAATATAACATCAGAAAGTGTTAATGATTTCTTATATATAATTTTTGCCTTGCATTAAAACTACTTTTACGGATTTTCTTAATCAAATAAATTAAACTTTATTTAAACTTAGATTAAACAGAGATTATTCTATTTCTTTGAATCTAGAAAAATATATTAATTTTAAACTGTTCATTTTGTAAAATCTCTAATACAAATATTGCGGCAAAAAAAGAAAGCGTACCACACAATTTTAAAATTAATACCAACTTATTAACAATAATTTTTGGAATAACATTTCCTCTCGACTTATTCAGCTGTGTCTAAGTGCATGGCGCTGTTGTCACCGGCTTATTTTCGAAACTGTATCGTATAGAAATTAAAGGAACAACCTGTATGTTTCACGAGCTTTGTTCCAAGGCTGTAAGTAACGAACGAGAATTGAATTAGCTTAGGTATCATTGATAAGTATAGTTTTATATGTAATTTTATATATAACGTGATAGGCAGTGAAAGAAAACATCGGAAGAAAATTAGCATATTATCTAAAATAAATAAAGTTTTAAAATACCTAATCGATACTCACTGATCATGAGCTGTGATAATCCTAGTGTTCCTAATACGTGTGTTAATTTCAGGAAGATGCTGCAGCTTCTTCTGTTTTAGTTTCCTTCTGTCGCCTCTTACGACAACCACATGACGATATGGGCTAGTGGACATTATTAGTTATTACACCGTCTCCACACGAACACTAAGTCTGTTATATATCGAAGAATAAAAGCTCCAACTTCGAAAGTTATTAAATTATGTGAACATTATTTTACATGTTTTTGTTTTTTGAAGTAGTTTTTAAAAATTTATAGCCTTAATTATTTGACGTTTTTAAGTGGACTTTGCAATATCATAAACAAAGTAAAAACTTAAATGTCGTAAATAAAAAATATATCCTCTGTTTCTACCCTTAGGATGGAATTTTTTCTTCAGGTTTAAATGGGATCTTAAGCTATACCGTTACAGCTTACTAAGTCCACTGCTGAATATAGGCCTCCCCTTAGATTGCTCCAAAGGGGGGTAGTTGGCCATACTTTTCACGCTTGACAAACTGCTTCAACCTCAGTTTATTTTTATTTTAAGTCATTTGTAGGGAATGAGAGCTAAGTGGACTGTATTTATGTTTCATTATAAGGGGAGAAACTGAACTATTATGAAGAAAGCTAATTACTGTGACATCTATCTGACTAATAACTTAATCGATGATAATTGCTATTTTAAACGGACAGAGGTTAAGACGAAATTAAAGAACTTCGAAATAATAACTATATTGTACACTATTTACAATTAAATCGCGAAAAAAATAAACAGATCATTAAAATAAAGGGATATGAAAATGAACGCAAGTAAGACGAAAGTATGGTTTTTGAAAGAGAAGAAAGTAAAACGGTATGTGAAATAAGAACAGAAGGGGAGTTGATCGAGCAAGTAGATGAGTTTGTATATTTGGGTTGCGTATTTAGCAGGGATGGAAGATGTGATAAGGATATAGAACGACGAGTGATTGCAGGAAATAGAGTAAATGGGGCCATACACTCTATTGTGATGAGTCAAAATGTGTTTAAAAAGGCACGTATGACAATTCACAATGATGTGTTGGTCCCTACTTTAACGTATGGTAGTGAAAGTTGGGTGTGGCAGAAGAAGCACGAGAGTAGAATGAACGCAGTAGAAATGCGGTCGTTAAGGAGTATGTTAGGGCTGAATCTGAATGACAGGGTGAGAAACTGTGTGATAAGAGAAGAGTGTTGTTTGTAAGATGGTGTTGTGACCAGGATTAAGAAAGGAATGCTTCGGTGGTTTGGTCATGTAGAAAGAATGAATGAGGAAAGAGTGACAAAGAAAATTTATGTTGCAGAAGTGAATGGCAGAGTCGGAAAAGGACGTCCTAGGCAAAAATTTATCGACCTAATTGACGATTTATTGAAAACAGCCCAAATTAGGAGTACCCTTAACCGACGAGCATGTATGCGTAGGTATATGAATGTGAAGGAGGCGAGAAAGGTGTGTCAGGATCCTGCCAAATGGAAGTCTGTAATCTCTGCCTACCCCTCTGGGTAACAGGCCTGAGTGTTTATGTTTATATGAGAAAAATAATTAATTCTCTTGAGTCTCGTAACGTGTGAATGCTAATTAAGCACTAATATTCAGATGCAGCAACAGGTAAACGCTTTGCACCTACCAGATGGACTCCTAGAGAGGTAAGGAGTCTTACAGCGTAGTAGGAGTATTAGGATCGCGTCTGGTTGTACTTTTCGAATGAAATAAGTTTAATTAATCCCGCTTTTGCTAATAAAAACTTAAAAAAAACAACAATTTTCTATGTTTACCAATTAGCAGAACTTCTAATACTTCGAATAAGTAATTATTTGATTTATTTTCTAAGTTGTAAAGCCATGCTGCTGCTACATTGTGGCCGCAACACAATAGGTCGGCTCGACGGGTAGAACTACGCTCTCACAGTATAAATGCGTAAAATATCAGCTTAATGCTGTTGTGTTTCGTATGGTGAATGTAGAGAACCGGACACCGTTTTAACCGGAAACGAGGCACACCATCTTAGTTAATTCTTAATAGGGGATAAATATAAATGAGCCTGTTTTTGGGTCACAGCATCCACTTACCATCAGGTGGACTTTGTGCTCGTTTTTCAGTGTGCTCATACATATGGGGTATGAAAAAAAAGCCTCCTCGTATATAAAGGTATGAGTAAACTGAAGTCTTCTTTCCATAGCTTGTATTAGAAATGCAGAAAACTAAAGCTACGTAGTCGCACCTGCACCAATTAGGCATCTTCAACAGTGAATAGGTTTTGTTACGCTAAGGCAGTGCAATTTACCATGGGGTTTCATCACCACTTACCACCGGTGGGATCGTAGTCAAGCATTGGCTTATAAGTAAAAAAACAAGAAAGAAATCAATTTTTAAACTACCACGACTAGTAAAGCTATATCTATAAGTATTTATTATTTATCCTATATTATATATTAAGTATGTATATTTTACTAACTATATATCTCTTCTATTCATTTGCATTTTATTTTGTTTTATATCCTTATTATTTATTTATGAAGTGATTGATTACACCTGCCACAGTTTCTCAAACCATCCAGGGTTGACTGGCAGAGAATGCCATAAGGCATTAAGTCCGCCCTCTATATCCCTTAGTATATAAGGTTTATAATAAAGATTAAATAAATAAATAAATAAAAAATAAAGCAACCATTCTTCTAAATCTTCTTTCATAAAACGACGTACGATCTTGCAATCCACCCGATCGTTTGTGGCTACTGCAGCACATGCACGCCTTCAACTAATGTCAAATAAAGAAGGTTACACACGCACTCACCTCTTAAAACTAAGATATAAGCACAACCTGTAATTATACTGGCTCTCTATACCCTTCAAAACAGAATACAGCAGTACACGCGCTTTAGCTTAGCGGTAGAAATTGGTGAGAAGTTAGCTTCTATTCTGTTCTTCAGCTACAATAGTAAGTTGCCACGTCTTGTAAGGAAAGCATACTTCTACTCCATCATCATCAGCCCGCAATTATCTACTGTGGGTATTAGAACTCCTTCGTTGCATGAATGGTTTTGCTTAAACATACGCTTGACAAGTGGAGCTTCGATCGTAGCCAGACGTCTCACAAATTTGATTTTGCGTATGGTGTTAACAAGATGTACCGTGTAGTGGTGGTGCAAGAATATCTACTACCCCACATCATGCCGTGGGTGTCGTATCGTAAGAGGAGAAAGTTGAAAGCAAGTCATGAGACGGGCAGGTGCGTCTTCCTAACGACGAAGAATGAAAATAAAACTGCGGTTGCCAACTTGCTTGCCAAGCGTGGCAACTTTAGATCTGTTAATTACTACTACTCTATAGATCTGTTCATTTTTGCGTTCTTAATATATGCAATTTAAAAAGTCAGTTTCAAAATATTGGTAAGAAACATGCACTATTTTGATGTGTAAAATAATATTTAAATTTCAAATAATAAATTAGAACTATTACCAAAGATTGCTACTAAAGTTTTTAAAGATCTTTCTATTATTGTTGTTTAATTTTTATTTTTCGTTGAGGCACAAAAGGTTTAAAGCCGGTATCAAAATATGTTTATGCTTTATTTATGCGTTATGCTTTATTTATTTGATTATTTTGCATAATGTGTGCGTTTTACAGTTGTTATAAAAAAAATATAGTACAACAGATTAACCATTTCTGGTGTACAAAATGATATACATTTAAAAACATTAAGTATTATTAGGTAACAATATAGATTAAAATTACAAAAAACCATTGATAAAAATTAACATACAAAAAACATAAAAATAAACTAGAAAGCGACATAATAAAACAAAAACATTTACTACTAATTGCACTATCACATTATCAATATTTATATTTTCATGTCACATTATATATTAAATATTAAAATATTATTATTAAATAGTCCAAAATTTAAAGATATTGGTTTTCCAACTCACTAAACGAATAAAAAGATTTATTAAATAGCCACTTTTTAGGGTTCCGTAGTCAACTAGGAACTCTTATAGTTTCGCCATGTCTGTCTGTCCGTCTGTCCGTCCTCGCTTAATCTCTGTGACCGTTAGCACTAGAAAGCTGAAATTTGGTACCAATATGTGTATCTATCACGCCGACAAAGTGGTAAAATAAAAATTGGTAAAAAATGTTTTATTAGGGTAGCCCCCCTTATATGTAAAGTGGGAAGTGATTTTTTCAATCCTAACGTGTGATATATTGTTGGAAAGGTATTTAAAAATGAATAGGGGTTTCCTAAATTCTTTTTTTTTAATGTCAATAATTTCGGAAATAATCGCTCTAAAATTAAAAAACAATGTGTCCCCCCCCCTCTAACTTTTGAACCATAAGTTTAGAAAATATGAAAAAAATCTGAAAAGTAGAACTTTATAAGGACATTCTAGGAAAATCATTTTGAACTTGGATGGGAACACCCACCCACTACCGGGAGCAGTTGCAGGAGCACGGAGCGCTGCTGGAGCGCGAACATAATGGATACCCACCTTTAAACTCATAAGTGGGAACACTTATTGTGACGGACGGAAAACTACGGAACCCTACACTGAGCGTGGCACGACACGCTCTTGGCCGGTTTTATTCAACTCGTTCCCGAAACTCTTCCTTGGTTGTAATTTTATGTTATCGGGTATAGCGTTAAATACTTTTATACACATTGCCTAGTAATTCTTATGATAATTAACTGTTTTTGGTATTTTAGCAATGACTAATTTATCTGGATGCCTCAAAGGTTTGGATTTGATAATATCTCCAGCAGTTATAAACAGCTCGGGGTTATTTTTAACAAATTTAAAGAATGTATATGCACGGAAGTGTTAGCACTTTCAAATCTCTAAATATTGATTTACACGACTCATGAGGGGCCATATTACATATTGCACGTAGACATTTTTGTCATTTCTGCTCAAGATACCGGCAGAATAGTAGTCTTGAGGAAATATTGCTGTAATTTATGAATATAGATATATATACATATATATATAAATATATAAATATATAAATATATAAATATATATATATATATATATATATATATATATATATATATATATATATATATACATTAAACAGATATATTATACGAAATATAGATCTCCTTAATGTGTTTCGTATGCTGGGAGCCGGAGTTCCTTTATACTGGAAACGAGACATTTTAGATGTAAAGAGGACAGGAGAACTGCTCGCACGTCACCCGTATTTAAACAAAAAAAAAAGATATACGTTGATGGATTCTTTAAGCTGCTACCACACAGCCTTTTTTATAAAGGAATAAAGAATAAATATTAAAAACGAATTATCATTTTCGAAGCGCTTTTAGAAAATTGAGGCAATGTTTTGGTTTTTAAATTTTTCTGAATGATCGTACATTTCTACGTTGATATTCGTAAAATGACGCAGAGTTGGCAGCGCTGAAGTGAAATGAAGTCATGCGCGAAAATCTGACTCCCTTTTTATTGGATTAAAATTGCACTAGCGATCTATCTTTTGCACATGTCGCGGTGTAGTATAGGTTAAAGTTGCTTTTTTCTTTTTAAATATGCAAAAAAAATATCTTATTTTAATTCTTGACAATGGACCGGCCATAGCTCGAAGAACCGACAACCGATGAGGAAAAGACGTTCTCGAGTGGCAGCCTCGTACCGGTAGGCATAGTGTAGGACGACCCCCCACTAGATGGAGTGACGACCTGGTAAGATATGCAGGAAGTCGATGGATGCAGGTGGCTCAGGACCGTGCTTTGTGGCATTCCTTGGGGGAGGCCTATGTTTGGCAGTGGACTAGTGAACGGCTGTAATGATGCCTTTTAACTTTTTTTTTATAGAAGAGGGGGCAAACGAGCATGCGGCTCACCCGATGTTAAGTGACTACCGCCGCCCATGATCAACCGCAACACCAGGGGAATTGCAGGTGCGTGCAGGTGTTTTTCAATTTGTGAATGAGCTGAGTCCCCTTCGTTTTGGGTATGTCTTTAATTAAATACTTGTTTGTAATTCCACAATTACCTGAATAAAATATGACATCAATGTCTGCCCCATGTTTATGCGTCGCTTCCAAGTAGGTACCTGTAAACGCAAGTCGCAATTTCGTTGACATCTCTTTTTGCGTCAGATTCGTCCCATACACATAATTCCACGATATTTGTGAGCAGATCATAAATTGTAAAAAATAATGCCCACTTTACATACAGTACCCGGTTGACCGAGCTTTTCTCGGTATTTTTCGCTCGGTTTTTTTTAATTCGTGTGTTTTGGAAATTATATTTAGATACAAATTACATACTGATGAAATACGAATAATAATTTTTGATCTTAGCGACATAATAGAAAAAACTGAACTGGTTATTTGAATAAAAAATCATGAGTGCAATTAGTTTTAAAATTTTCGTGTTTTTAAAAAATACTAAAAAAAGGGCTCGAAAAAATAGATTTTCTCAAAAAAGAAAAGAACTTGAAAAAAAAATTAACAAAAGTCAGTCGTTCGGTCTGGGCTCGAACCATGGGTGATACGATTTTGTGACCGCCCAATATACCAATTAAGCTTATTCTAACGATATTGTAGCAGTTTTTCATTGCCTAAAAACACGGACAAAAAGACATTTTCTAAAAATAAATCCTAGCTAGATCGATTTATTGCCCCCGAAACTCCCTACACACAAAATTTTATGAAAATCGTTGGAGCCGTTTCCGAGATTCCGATTATATATATATATATATATATATATATATATATATATATATATATATATATATATATATATATATATACAAGAATTGCTCGTTTAAAGGTATAGGATTGATTGACCTGTCATTTGATTCCTTTAACAGGTCGCGTCTACCTATAACCACTGTTGTATAAAAACAGTAATTGTTTATAATAACATAATAACTTATCATCTTTTCATTTAGAGGCCAGGGAAAATGTTATTAAGTAAATAAAATTTTTAGGTTATAACGGCTGTCAGATAAGGTCTATACACTTATTTTTCTTTCCTCAACATAGTATAAAACCATTAAAAATCGTATCTAATCATAAATTAATAAGTTATAAAAAGGAAATCGGTTATTTTGAACATTCATAAACCACATGATGAATGAACAAGTTTTTCGTAGTCTGAAACGGAACGTGAAGAACACGTTTTTAATATAATGGTTTCTTATATTTACGCGAATACTACACATTGAAATAATACTAGTTTTTACGGAATTTATCGCGTATATTTAACTTTTTAAATACCCGAGGTTTCGAGAGCTTTACAGCACTCATGGTCACGGGAAGGACTGAGATGTTCAACGTCCAGATGTCATAGTTAACCGCGGTTACCATAGATTAAAATTTAACTTTTGTTCCGATCTACACAGTATGAACTTATGGTATCATGAAGTCTTGCAGTTGTATGCTTGGGTTGGGATTTAATTTTATTTATTATAGGATCCCAAGCAGATGGTAGCACCCAGCCATTACAGCCAACTACTCTCAATTTGTACGTTACGTTGTGGTATAATGCTATAATTTGGGACTTTAACCGAATCATCAGAGTCTGAGAGGAAAAGTGCATTGCTGATTATTATTTTTGTAGTAATAGTAAGAAAATATAAGCAAAATACCTTCATAAAATAATGTACCTGATGATAACTAACTGCTGCTTTGGCGAATTCATCGTATCCGCCATAAAGGAAGAAGAAGAAGAATTGCTGCCGGAGAAGATGCTCAAAGATTTAACCAAAATTCGCTGAGATATTCTAGCGTCATTCCCTAGTTCATCTTTATCTGAAAATAAGTTTAATTTCTCACAATGTTTTCTTAATTTTTAAATAATTTAGACAGAACTCACTATGTCATCCCCGTAATTCCACCAACTGTTACAAATACCTACCAACGTAAATAAATAATTACGTGTTTACTTTACATTAGATAGGTATTAATCTTAAACAAAAAAATCTTAACATAGTCAGCCTAATCCACAGGAAAGGAAAGGTCAAAAGACCAACAAAATATTTGTTATCTGCCTTATACCTCATTATTTGTACACCTAAAAACACTTCCAAAGCCCTAAGGAAACTAATAAGCAATGACCTATAGTTGTTGACTCTATCTTACCAGGTTGTATGTTTTCTTTATTAATATTCTCTTTTTCAGCTCCATTTTCATTAATTACGGCCATTAGTTTCTTGAACCGCGACCACATCCGCAACAAAAATAAGATCATATTGTTTTTCCGTTTGGATCGTTTGTTGGGTCGATTGTTGGGTCGATTGTTGGGTCGATTGTTGGGTCGATTGTTGGGTCGATTGTTAGGTCGATTGTTGGGTCGATTGTTGGGTCGATTGTTGGGTCAATTGTTGGGTTGATTGTTAGGTCGATTGTCGATTGTTGGGTCGTTTGTTGGGTGGATTGTTGGGTCGTTTGTTGGGTCGATTGTGGGGTTGATTCTTGGGTCGATTGTTGGGGCGATTGTTGGGTCGATTGTTGGGTCAATTGTTGGGTCGATTGTTTAATCGATTGTTGGGTCGATTGTTGGGTCGATTGTTGTTTCTATTATTGGGTCTATTGTTGAGTCGATTGATGGGTCGATTGTTGGGTCGTTTGTTGGGTCGATTGTTGGGTCAATTGATGGGTTGATTTTTTGGTCGATTGTTGGGTCGATTGTTGGGTTTGATTGTTGGGTTGATTGTTAGGTTCATTGTTGTGTCGATTGTTGGCTCGATTGTAGGGTCGATTATTGGTTCGATTGTTGGGTCGATTGTTGGATCGATTGTTGGATCGATAGTTGGGTCGATTGTTGAGTCGATTGTTGGGTTGATTGTTTGGGTTGATTATTGGGTTTATTGTTGGGTTGATTGTTGGGTTGATTGTCGGGTTGATTGTTGGGTTCATTGTTGTGTCGATTGTTGGCTCGATTGTAGGGTCTATTATTGGTTCGATTGACGCGTCGATTGTTGGATCGATTGTTGGATCGATTGTTTGATCGAATAATGGGTCGATTGTTGGATCGATAGTTGGGTCGATTGTTGGGTTGATTGTTGGATCGATTGTTGGATCGGTTAATGGGTCGATCGTTGGATCGATAGTTGGGTCGTTAATTGTTTGCGTTGATTGTTGGTTTGTTTGTCGGGTTGATTGTTTGGGTTGATTGTTGAGTTTATAGTTGGGTAGATTGTTCGGTCGATTGTTGGATCAATTGCTGGGACGATTAATGGGTCGATTGTTGGATCGAATGTTGGGTCGATTGTTAGGTCGATTGTTAGGTCGATTGTTGGGTTGATTGTTGGGTTGATTGTTGGGTTGATCGTTTGGGTTGATTGTTGGGTTGATTGTTGGGTTGATTGTTGGGTTGACTGTTGGGTCGATTGTTGGGTCCATTGATGGGTCGATTGTTGAGTCGATTGTTGTCCTTTGTTGTTCTGTAACGTATAGGTCCCATGTTTATGTGGGATTTATTAGATAAATAATGTTCTGTGTTACTTGCTTGCGATGTATGTACTTGAAGGGCAACTAATTGGATATCACTTCTTTCACAGTTTTCTACCCATATTTTTTTGGCTAAACGTGGTCCGAGTACCTCCCTTGTCTTTCACCTTTGCCTACCCACTTCAGGAATTGCAGCCGTGACGCTATTTAATGTAGTCCGCCGCGATGCTCCAGTGAGTGTTGTCAGACTTCACATGTTTTCAAGATATTTTTTAATCAGGCATGCAGCTTTCCTCACAATGTTTTTTGTTCCTTCAATGCTGAGTACGTGATAAATTCCGTACAATTAGGGAGAGCACTTATAGCCCTTAAGGCACCAACGTGCTTGAAACCGATTTCTAATAAAAAAAATAATATTGTGCACATAAAAGTAATATCAATGTTACTATCCATTTTACTACTACAATCGCTCCTTGGTTCACAAGGATTTCCTGCTACAGCACAGCAAGCACATCACACTTCCGACGATGTTTACTCCATTTGTTCTTTTGTTGCTTCGTTTAAAAATGTTTCTTTCTCAATTTTAAGGAAAAAGACTTTAACTATTTTATGTTCACAGTTTAACAAAAAAAAAAAAGAACTAAAAAGAATCAAATATTTTCCACTTAATACTTTCAGAAGTTTATACTTAGATATAGTGCATAGATATGTGTAGAAAAATTAAAGCCAATACTTGTTCTTGACTTCACATTTTATAAACCTTTTGAGAAGACTAAGTCTATAATATAGACTTTAGTCCTTAGACCATAATAAGCTCAAGGTAAAAACTGGAATGTCGTTTTAATAGTTATATTAACTCACTCCATCTAGTGGGGGGCCGCCCATTATTTTGTCAACGGGCAAGGTAGCGGTGAAATATTTACATTATAGTAACTTCGTCGTTAGTGCAAGTACACCACAGGGTACCTTGGTATAAAAAGTACACCAACACTAACGAACAAACATTTACTTTCACGTACGCTTGTATCGATATTGTGACCTTTGACACCAAAGCGCAAAATAAATCAACTGATTAAGACAGGCAGTACAACGTTTGTTTTTTCGTTGGGGATTATTTATTTATTTCATCTTTAATTGATACACCTTAATAAGTAGGGTAACAAAAGTACCTATCGGTATTCTCTGCCAGTTACCCGCGGCCCTCAGCACCGCAACTCAATGCTGTCACTTGTTCCGTGCGGGGTTCGAACCCACGGCCCTCACCAACGCAAATCTGTGCTGTCACTACGCCGCGGAACCGTCTAATAATAATACATATTTCAGATTCATAACTATGAATAAAACTAATATTAAGGATTTCTTTACAATTTATCGGATATTAATTAAACGGAATAAAATTCTTAAAATTAATTATATTGAATGTCAAGCATTTGTGTTAATTTAGGATCACAAATATTCGTTACTATAAAAACACACAAAAAACCTCAGACCCATACCCTAGACGGCCGCCGCCTTTGCATCAGATACGATAGACCAAATATTGTTATCAAAGGCAATATTAAAACATTGCTATAAATAACAAAACTGTTTCCCTACATTTTTGTATCATAAACATAAAAAATGTTTACATAGGTAAATAAAATATTGGAAAATGATCTTAGTCAGGAGGAAATATTTCCTGCCGGTACACGACCGCAGTCACAATATAGGTATATGTTTATTGCTAGTTAGTTATGTACGTGCAGTTTATGTTCCTTGTATCTCGAAGAAATGTGTTCTGGGAGATATTTTGTCCTCTCACACTTTGTAACGTATTTTTAAGATTGTTTTAAGTGCTGATTTACTGCGTGCTAAAAATAGCCAGGAAACCTACCTGTCAGACAAATAAAATTAGTTTATCGGAGACATGTGAAGTCCGCTAGCAAATCTAGCAGGCAGACATTTTCTTGATTCTGTCAGAAATGAGAGCATGAACCTACCCAGAATCCCATTCCGTTCATTACAGCGAATGAAAATACACTGATGAATAAACGCCTCCAGAGATTACCTCATAGAAGGGATTTTACCATAGTTGTCACACGCGGAAGGCGGATATTTTAGTTTGCAGTTTCTTTGAGTTGCCATCAGGAAGCTTCTACTGTCCATCTCCTGCTTCATTTTCTCTCTGTCACCTCAAAAGCCACCCACAGGATGATATGGGATAGTGCATATCCTTACACCACCATTACACGATTTCCATGTGCTCGGGATTAGAACTTGCATATAGGCTGTGACTTTAGTTTACTTTTGTAACATAATTACGCTGAGTTAAGAAATATATATGCGTTGCAGAAGAAGCTGTTAAAGACCTACTAAATAAGCTGTTATGAGAAAAATATTCAATTCTCTTTAGTCTCGTAACGTGTGAATGCTACTTAGACACTGATATTCAGATGCAGCAACAGGAAAAGCTTTGAACTGATCCAAATGGACTCTTGGGCAGGGAAGGAGTCCTACCACGCAGTAGGAGTACCAGTATCGCGTCTAGTTGTACCATTCGAATGTAATAAGTTTTATTCTCTCTTTTGCCAGTAACAAACAAACACAACAATATTTCTATGTTTACCGCCTAGCAGAACTCTAATAGGTATAAGTAATTATTTGGTTTATATTTACGTGGTAAAGCCATGCTGCTGCTATATTATGGCTGCAACACGAATGGCTCAGCTCGGCGGGTACGAATACGCTCTCACAGCATAAATGCATAAAATATCTGATTAATGCTGCTGTGTTTCATATGGTGAGTGTAGAAAACCGGAGACCGTTTTAATTGGTAACGAGGCATACCATTTTAGTCCTCAAGGGTGACGATGCATCTGCATCTTAATTCTTAATCGAGGATAAATATAGATGTCTTTGGGTCACAGCATCCACTTACCATCAGGTGGACTGTGTGCGTTTTTTACCCATATATAAAACAAAAGAGCCTCTACGCATATAAAAGTGTGAGTAGACTGACGTTTTCTTTCCAGCTCGTATTATAAATGCATGAAAACTAAAACAACATAGTCGCAGACATCAAAAAAACAGCGCCTCAAATCGTTTACACAAACGTTTTACACGCAACGAAGCGGAATGCAGCGATCGTTGAATGGACACAAGTGGTTTAAACTCGATTTGCTGAACAACATTTGCTTGCACCGCAAAGGTCGTTGGTAATCTTCATTACTTTTACTCCTTTTATTAAAGAAGTAATAGGTTTGCAGTCAACTTCGATAATGAAGGCTAATAATCTTGCGCTCCTCAGATGTCGCTGGTTGGCACTGACGTGAAGTTTTGGCTACACAATGTCATTTAAGTGAGAAGTTAGTTTTAAATAAAAGTTTATCAGTTTCTGGAGTATTATATATTAATACCCAAAACAATGCAAACAGTTGTTTGCTCTTTTATTTTTTGTACATTTATAACGCGTTTTTTTAAATCTTCTACTTTTAGGAATATCCGTATTTTGTCAATTAATTTCTTATTTAATTAAAGACATAAAGACATTTATTCCGACACTTGAGATTACAATCACAAATTAATAAACAAAATTAAGACGAATAAGAATAAAATAAAAGAAATAAAAACACAAGAAAATTAATAAACAAAAAAAAAATAGAGGAAATAACAACAATTCATACCTTAATCGAAACAGATGAAGGGGCGGAAGGGACCGCCTCAGCACAAGTCGCGGGATAGCGACGCTGATTTTCAGTCGGCCCCATACGGTCCTATGAAGACCGTGCCGTAAGTGTA